CATGCTAAATAAATCCAAATGTCATGCTAAATAACCATTGGACTATAAAGTATCAAATAGAAAAAGTTTAGATAGCTATTTCCCCCAAACATTTTATTAAAATAAATCAAAGTAAAAAAAAATAAAAAAATCTGAATTACAGTTTTATTTTCGTTATTCGTCCAATTGCTCCTGTTTTGTGGTATGGGGAAATGTTTTTGCTAGTTATTTAGCATGCCATGGACACATCAAGAAGGTATGTTATAGCATTTGCTCTTTCTATTAAATCCTTTTCAATCACTTCCTAATTTGGAGTATGTACTTACTAAATATGTGTGTGTGAACGTTGAAACAGATAGGTGGGCACAAATATCCACTTTTAAAAATACACGTTCTAATCAAAACAAAATGTAAACAAAACCTGGAATTTGCATTATATGTCTGTTCAACCGTAATTCACCTCTTTCATATTAAGTGCACCCACACTTATATATCATTTTGTTCAGGAGAAAAGGGGCTTTAATTTCTCATATATGAAACATAACTTCTTATGAATAAAATCCCAAAAACTGAGAAATTAAGATAAAAAAAAAATTATAGTTCCGCCTGACATTTTAGCTGTAAATGTCATAATACTGTTCGCTTTTACTGCAATAAAATGCACATTTTTTATCAGCAATGTTTCACAAGTATAACAGTACCCCCCATAAACAGATTTTACAGTGTTTTGGAACGCTACATGGTTAAATATAGCACATTCCATTTTTCATTTATTTTCACGTTAAAATTTGCCAGATTAGTAATGTTACCTTTGAGACCGTGTGGAAGCCCAGGAATGAGAATTACCCCCATGATGGCATACCATTTGCAAAAGTACACAACCCAAGGTATTGCAAGTGGGGTATATGTCCAGTCTTTTTTAGTAGCCACTTAGTCACAAACACTGGCCAAAATTAGCGTTATTTGTTTTCCTGTGAAAAATGCAAAAGAACTAATATTTGGCCAGTGTTTGTGACAACTAAGACTGGACAAAACCCATTTGCAATACCTTGGGTTGTCTAATTTTGCAAATATGGGGGTAATTCTCATTCGTGGCCTACCATACTGTCTCAAAAGGCAACATTACCAAACTGGCAAATTTCAATGTGAAAAAAATAAAATGCAAGCCTTTTATTTGACTCTCTAACTTTCCAAAAATACCATAAAATCTGTACATGGGGGGGGTACTGTTATGTTTGTGTTCAGTGAAGTCTCCCAAGTATAAGTGTTTCAAAACAGTAAAACATATTACAACAATAATTTTGTCAGTGAAAGTGCGGTTTGTGTGTGAAAAATGCAAAAAACTTAACTTTTACTGAATATATCATCGTTGTAATACAATTTATCATTTTGAAACACTAATATTTGTGTTCATTGAAGTCTCCCAAGTAAAACAGTACCCCCCATGAATTAAATTCTCTGCACTTTCTGCCTGGGTTGTCAGGCATGTCAATCAAATTTTAATTAATTAAATCACAATTATGTTGTTAAAAGATTACTTAAATATACACGTAGAATTTTAATATATACATATATGTATTTAAATTCTAAGTGTATACTTATGTAATCAATTACGAATTATATATTTCTCTCTATATGCAGTTATTTGTATTTTTTATATTATATATGTCATTCTAAGTGTATTATGATAGATATATATACAGTTAAAGTGAAATTACATATGTATTTTTTATTCTTGTAATTATACCTGTATGTATAAATATAATATATATCTTTATATAATCGCCCCCGGGGGCCTGATTTGCTGTGAGAGGGCTGCCTGGGCTGTCAGGCAGTCCTCCTGAAGAGGATCGCAGCGGAAGTAAGTAGCTGGAGGCTCCAGGCGGATTAAGCCATTATGGCATTCTATGCCGCCGCAACGGCTTTAAAGCACATTTAAATGGGGACGGCGTAGAACGCCGTAACAGCGTTAAGGGGTTAAGATCTGGTCAGTTTTTGCTCGTGTATCAGTGTCAATTCCTCAGTGATAAAATAGGTGATTCAATATTTATGATACTGAACGGATTGACCAAAAGCGCAGGAAAATTAAAGTGAACGTTTTATTTGCTGTCATCTTGGTTCTTTTTCACTCAATCCTTCTCTAATTCCCCCCTTTTTCCCCTCTTCCCCTCATTTTTCTTTCCCTTTCCATTATCAAAAGATTTTTATACTGTAATAAAGTGTTAAAGTATAATTCTATTAAAAGTATCTATTACAAATACACGGACATAGAAAATCAAACTGCATTCACACAAACATTCAGACCTGTTCTGGCGTGAGAGTGAAAGCGTTAGTTGGAAGGAGTCTCAGGCAAGTCTGTAACCAGAGGCCAGAGTCTCCATATGTCATTATATAACCCTTAAATCTCCATTTTCTGACCAAACAGACTTTGGTGGCCACTAATATATGCACAATTAGCATTTTTATTTCTTCCTTTAATTTGGGTAAATCCAAATGAAACAGAGTGTGGGGGAGGGGTCAGTTCAATATGGGACTGTGTTAATGTTGTTAATTACGTGATATATTGTTTTTATTTTTGAGTTGGCACAAATCAAAGGACTGATACACCAGAAAGAATGGTAGATGTCCTTTCATTTATGCTGGATGTATACTGGTTTGTGGGACCAGAGTTTCTACGCCCTTTAGATGTTTGTGAATGACTTATTTTATGATGTAAATAGCTGAAATTATGACTTGCATCAGGCCACTACTGGGCGGTTTGGGATTTCAGGTGGGCGGTGGTGGGTTCTGCAGAAAATGCCGAGTGGGCCTCGATGGCAGTGGACCAAGGCCGGTAGGGGAGATCCTTTCATCTCCCCTGCCGGCCCATGCATAGCCAGCCTTACTGTAAGCCCTCTCGAGGTGGTGAGAGGATCAAAGTTCTCCCTCCATGGCCCGCTTGCACTTAGTTCCAGCCGAGGCAGGGAAGAGCCTGGGAGGCTCTATGTTCCTCCCTCGAGCAGGCTCGTCAGAGCGTTGCCGCGCATTACTATGGTAATGCTCATATGCAGTGCTATGCTCGCAGGATGACAGGAGAGTCAGCCTAAAGCCGGAGGAGCTGCAGGTTAAAGTGAACATGCCACCACGGTTTGCAGCATTATGTCCCACCTCCCTGGTGAAAGGTAAGACGGGAGGGGGAGATATTAAGATAGATTTTCACACACAAAAAATATTAAATTAAATATAAAAAATAAATAAAAGATTGCATTTGTGCTATAAAATTAGTTACGGAGGCACTGGTGGGCAGTAAGAAACTTTTTGCATCAACTAAAATACAAAAGTGGGAGGTAGGTATTAAAAGGTCGACTACCCCTGACTTACATTGAGGACTTTGACAGATAAAAATTTGAACATCTTGAACAATGTTTGTTTTTTGTTTTTGTTTTTTTATGCACATCACTGAGCGGAGTTCAGTAAAACCCTTAGTGGATTTGGGTTTTTTTCCTTCTCTTTTTAGGAAACCCTTCAGGTTGTATATATCGAAGAAACAAAAAGTTTCCCAACAAGCTACATAACTTTACTACAAACTTATAAAACCCAAAGGGATGGGAAATCTACTCTGAGACTCCTTATCATGTTAGTTTCTGCTACCAATTGTGATCCTAAGGGACAATATACTTTTGGTCCCTTAGTTCCCATGGCAAATATTTATGCACAAAATGTCTTGGGGACTAAGGGACCAAAGATATGACAAAAATATATTGCATTCATTGACATCAAACTGACATTTCTTTTTTCTCAAATATGCTTTATTCGTAGCAATGTTTGAATTCATTGTTTTTGTTTTGTCTTTTAGGGACAATAAACTGACCCAAGTAAAAATAAATAAATAACTGTTTAGTAGATACACCTAGTAAAAACATGAATGTCTTTAAGTATACATTTTTTTTTTAATTGGGGGTATATCCATTAACAGCTTTCAAAATCTGTGCTTTTCTTGACTGCTTTCTTTGTAAGCCCTCCCCTTCTTCTTCAGCCCAGACTTGCTGTGGCTGCTCAATCACAGACTTCCCAATGCAGCTTAATGAAAAAAATCTTTGATGGGCAGGTGCACTGAGCAATTGCCGGTTTCATGAATTTAGCTCCATTGAGCAAAACAAACCAGGAAGTAATATGACCAGTTCTCTACTTGAGATCCAAGTGTGGGTAACAGTTACATTTATAAAAGTGCTATTTCTATTGAATAGGTAAAAAATTACAATATCCCCGTGAGTGATACCAATATAAATCGATACTCTAACACCTTAGTGAGTTTTCCCTTAAAACCTCACCACACAAAGTAATACATACAGTATAAGGCGGAGTTTCTTTTCATTAAAATAATGACTGGACCAATAATATCTGTAGATATTATTGGTCCAGTCATTATTTTAATGAAAAGAAACTCCGCCTTATACTGTATGTACTATTTCTATGGATATCTGCACTTAGGAAGCTAATGTGCTTTATGGGTTCGGAGTGTGCCTTTAAGATTCAGTAACAAGAAGAGAATGAATTCTTGCACTGAAACGTGCTCATTCCAAAGAAAGAAAACAAACACAGGTAGTTGTTCCAGCCGGTTAGTAGTCAGGCTGGGGAAATTAAAGCTCTAGTAGTAGTTGCTCTTATGTAACAGGAGTAGATACAGCTTTGGCAGAAGCAAAGTTCATAAGTATTACCTTTCATGATATTTCTGCTGAAGAGGAGGCAACTATCAATATGAAATGTACTGTTGCTTAGTAAATGGAAAACCATAATATTCAAGGATCTGATTAATAAAATGCAGGGTAACAGCTAATTTAATAAAAATGAAATCTAATTGCCATTGTTCAGTTCAAGACGCATTTTTTCTCCTTTGTGGAACAATTTTAAAGCACTACAAATTGAGGTTTTCACCTTTGCTTTGGATCAATAGCGGAAAAAGATATATGAAAGATTGTACTTAATAGACATTGTTTTTGTTCTAAATGTTATGGATTTATGTAACAAAATGAACAATGTATTGCACTTTTCAATTAGTTTATTTTCATCTAGAATACATAATTTAGCTCTATTAAAAATAAAGTAAAATAACAAAAACATGTAACATATTTGTAATGTGTTAACATTTTACCTGGCAAACAATTGCAGTAAATGTAAACAATGTTCAGGTTGCGTAAACAAAAAAAAGTTTGTAAGATTCCTAATGGAGTGAGCGATACTGTAACATCAGTATTGGCATCATACATTTATATAAGGGTCATCCAAACAGTATCTGTTAAACAAAGATCATTGCCAAATTCATAAAAGTTCATACAGAATCAAAGAAATGTGGTTATTCCAAAAAGGATACCAAAAAGTAATATTGTATCACACAAAATACATAGAAAAGATAAGGACTAGGTTACATGAGATGAAGCCTTACGATATACAGGTCATATAAATGTTCACCAGACTAATCTGCAACCACTAGCTTGGATGCAGTGAGGAACGGCATCCTGTAATGTCCTAAACTACCTCATATTGACATTCTGAGCATTGTAATAGCCAACTGTTTGACTGTACCATAGTCCACTCAGTCAAGTTCCACTTGATAAACATCATTGCAATGTAACCTAGTCCTAGTATAAATGTAACAGATACAATCATCTTAAAGAAACCATCAAAACAAAGATTTGCGACTCATGTTTCATGACGCGGACAAACCATAAAAAGGAAAGTAAAAAAGGTGGGTGGATGTGTATTTGAGAGACATATATCCACACATACACACCATTCAAATGCTCCAATTGTCATATCTGGAAATGTGCACACATGGGAAATATCCATGCTTGTTGACTAACACACAAAGTTTGAATGGGTTAGTGGAAAAGCCGCTCTTATTACAACTGGCTTTGAATGACATGAATGATATCAATGCAATGTAAACACTGTATACACAGAGTACACAATAATTCAGAATGCAATAAGACATTGAGGAAACATATGAATTGCCATTATCATGGATGACAATACAATGTGTTTTAAGGTGACTATCCATTAACTTTTACTTAGTTTTACTCAACAATAGTTAACAGCAATTCTGATTATTATGGCATGCTGCTCTTACAAGTAAATTGGCTGCAATATTCATAATGTAGGAGCCTACCAAAATAATACCTATGTAATAAACCATACATTTCAGCTCAACTTAGGAGGACCAGCTAGAAACCGAATTAATATTTGAAGGTTAATTACACTAACACGACTGCCAATAACAAGCATTGGTTTTGTGTAGACTAAATAAAGGGGTTCACATGGAAATTCAAGATTTTATTACAATCTATAACCATCCTATGGCATGTCTGTGTCATAGGCTAAATCTGATAAGACCAAAATGGTGTTATTGGTATTTGACAACTAAAGAGCACAGTTAAGTGTGAGTACATTGTTGCAAAAATGAAACTACAAGGTATTTGAAGTTCTCCTGGAACACTGAAGCTTTACTATATTAATTTCTTTTAACTTTTCCTGAACACAAGAAAGTGAAGGGTCAGTTATATATTTTGAACAATTTCAAAAGCTACAGACGTAAAATAGTTTTTACATATAACATGGCATTAAATAGTAATAAGGTTTATTGTTAGAACCAAAATATTCCAATGAGTCATTACATGAACCATCAGATTGCTACCATTAATATCTTACATATACGTTTCCATACAATAAGTGCAAAAGCGTGATGGATGCATCTATCTCATAAAGGACTTGTAAATCAGCTACCACTCAGCGCAATATGCTACCATAATTTACCAGACAATCTTATTTCTACCATAATAGGCAACCATCCAAGGAAAAATCTTACCAGCACAAAAGTGTTTTGGTCAATAAGTCTATTGCCCACCATACCCCAATAACAACAAAATAAACTACACTATTATCTCTAGTGCAACCTGTGAACCCAGGCATAAAAAAAAAGTATAATGCTAGGGGTTTCCAGGACCTCTCAATAATAACCAGAGTTATCCTAAACAGAAACATGTAGTTACTTCGCCAGCAATTTGGAGGAAACCATAAATTGATGGATCCTATAGTAGGGAAAAAACAGTAACAGCAACTTTCATCTTATGAGCATGAGGACACTTCTCTTCTCCTACCTTATCTGATGCTATAACAGGAGTGTAATAGTTATGGTGATGGGTTAAGGTGTACCCTGGCCCATAAATTGTGTAAGGTCATGGGTAGCGTTATGCAAATTGTATGAGTTTTATGGTAACTAACTTCTCTCTCTTGTATTCAGGTGAGCTTTATAATGGCAATAATAAGCAGGCAAGTTGTCAATCAAATCAACTGTTTTATAACTTTTTGTTTCCCAACACATTATATTGTGATAGTAGCTCTACTAGAAATTTAAACCTACCCCACAATGTGTTTATCTTACAAAAATTATAGTATAGGTTTCCAAATGTTCAATCTTTTATATGTATTGTGCAAGAAAAATCGCTAGTGCATATTTTAATGCTCATTCCGTGCTGGAGGTTGTACAGTATATCTGTAGGATTCTATCAGAATGCCAACTGATAGAGGCAGACTTAAGGTGAACACTTTATATATACATACACTTTTGGTAGTAATATTGTAACCATAATTTACAGTACATGATTTGAATAATGATTGAACGTGAAGCAGATGTAAAATGCTAGTTTTTTCCTAGAACAACAGATTCTACTTCATTTTGTAGTACCTGCTAGACGAGTAAATACCTGGCATTTATAATGTTTTGTGAAGTCTAATTAGATATGAACAAGATGGTTCTAAACCAAATGTGTTATAAGTGCTATAGGTTTAGGGTCAATACACCTAGACTAGGGGTGGCCAATTTGTAGATCCCCAGCTATTGCAGAACTGTTTATCAGTCGTAAGCATTGCAAATATCTTTGGAGCGTCTTTGTGCAGCCGCTGGATATATCTTTCCTGGCACATTTATACACTAAACATGTACAGGCTACAGGCAAATAAAATAACTGCCAACACCTTTCTTGTGTATAGGATAGAGAAAACAATGTTGCCTGCTTTAGACAAAAACAATTCAATTATAATCTACAACATATTTAAAGCACACAACTCAAGATTCTGTGCTGTGTTTAAGGCTATGTTTTAGGGTCTGCTTGGCAAGTCAGGTCATTAAAAAAATGTGAATTCTCCAATGAGTTAACTAAGACTAAACTTAAATCTGATCACATGATAAAATCCACTGCTTTATGGTTATTTTTATATGCATCACATTTAGCAGGTCTGCTGCTTTTTTTGAAAATGTGTATATATCTAAGATCATAGACTATAGGGTCAGAGATTAAAAGAAATTATGTAGTAAAATACTAGTATTTTTTTCCAGCCAGATGAGGGACATAAAATAAATAAACCGTAAGGGTACAAACAGCAAGTTTGTGCAACACCAATGAACAGCCCAGCTTATACAGGTAATGTCAGTTTACGGTTCACCTTAATGACATATTCAAACCAGTAACTGAAAGCTATTTGGCCCATGAGCCAATGCCAAGTCACATTAAAAGTATATACACTGAATTCTGCCATGAACAGCTAAACTCAGTGGAGAACTGAATACGAACTCAGGAGCAATAAGCTATGCCCAGAGTTCAGAAATACAGTACATACTGAGAGTGCACAACACGCTTACCAAGCAACCGAGCAGTGCTTGCTGTAAGGAGCCTTGGTGTCTTCATTTAAGGTATCCAACTTGGTTCTTAAAACCATGTTATTTACTAAAGTAAGAATTGTCAGGAATTCAAGTTCACCGATGCTTTCCATACTTTGACCTTAAATGTGAAATTTACTTAGAATTACTGACAATTCTCATCTTAGTGAATAAAATACAGAAAAAAACAATTTTCTTGCATTTCTAATTGTACATGTAAGTAATAAAAAGGTGGGAGAGGACCATACCAATTTCAAGTTTTACATTGAAGAACACAGAAAGAAAAACATGTTAATTTAAAGAAAGACCACACTATGGAATAATTTTGCAACAGCTTTCTACTTAAATAAATTAAAGTAAAAAAAATAATAATTAAAAATAAGTAAAAATAGAACAACTGACAAAGACACATTTGGCACAAATGTCCAGTTTGCAACAAAGTCTTTTGAGTGTATCTTGTCTGAAGGCAAGTACCGAAGTGCAGATGTTTTCGTACAATTAGTAAGAATTCGCTAGAAAATAAAGTTATGGAAAAAATAATCTCAACCATGAGTTGGTTTAAGGATACATAAACAACCTAAAAGTTATAGGTTAATGATGAACAATATTTTGTGTTCAAATATAGAAATAACCAACATGATGAAAAATCCCAATAGAATTCCTGCATTTTGTAACAGAAAATATCCCCACCGGCTGCAGCCATGATCACTTGCATCATTATGCAACATTTCTGGAACCTACAAAGAGAGAGAGAAATCAAAATGGTGCAACTTGCTATGAGAAATGTCAATCAAATGTAATCAATTGCAGTTGTCAAACAGATTTATTAAAATCAATTCCGTTGTATTAAAACCAATTCTAGCAATTGTTTTTCCAGTCAGATATATAAAAAAAAAAAATCATAAGGGTACAAGGAAGGGTAGAGCATCAATTACTTTTTCAGTTGTTGCAGGTGCAAAAGTGACCCTTTGTTTAAAAGGGCAAAGTCTGCAGGGCAGATAGCAGCAGTAGATATAACGCCCATCACAGTAAAGAAACTGTATGGCGATGTCACTAATGTGAAGGCTGTCTCTTACTCAATATAATGCGAAGGGATCAAAAAAATATATCCTCATTAAACTGTACTAATATGTAAATGAAGCAGATTATAGTTGTTCTGGTGACTATAGTGTCCCTCTAAATATAATCACACAGGTAGCAATTGATGTCGGTTATAAAAACAAACAGTTAGCTACTAACTTTCATTTTTAAGTCCAGAGGTAATGGCAAAGCAACATTACAAACAAACCCATTGAATACAGTAATATGTCCAAAAAAAAGTACACACAGTATTCCACATGCTTTGGCCTATCAGACTAAAGCATATACCAGAGATGAAGGGATTTGTTTAGAATGCTACACTGTTATAATTTCCAAAAATGTAAAAAAAAAATAAAAAAAACTGTTTAACCCCTTAATGACCAGACTGCTTTTCAATTTTCTTACCGTTCAGGACCAGGGGTGTTTTTACATTTCTGCGGTGTTTGTGTTTAGCTGTAATTTTCCTCTTACTCATTTACTGTACCCACACGTTATATACCGTTTTTCTCGCCATTAAATGGTCTTTCGAAAGATACCATTATTTTCATCATATTATATAATTTTTTTTTTTTAAATGATGCAAAAAATAAAAAAATAACACTTTTTCTAATTTTGATACCCAAAATCTGTTACACATGTACAACCGCCAAAAAAAAAACCCATGCTAAATAGTTTCTAAATTTTGTCCTGAGTTTCGAAATATCCAATGTTAACATGTTCTTAGCTTTTTTTGGATAGTTATAGGGCTATAAGTACAAGTAGCACTTTGCTATTTCCAAACCATTTTTTTTCAGAACTAACAAAAAAGTTACATTTTAACACCGATATCTGTCAGGAATTCCTGAATAATCCTTCACATATATATATATATATATTTTTTTTTAAAAAGACTACCTAAGGTATCAAACTTGAAGTATTTTGACTCTTTACCACCAATCTAGACCAAATTTAAAAAAATAATAAATAATAATTGGTGATTTTTTTTGAGACAAGTAGCAATTTAAGAATACATGTACTGAGAGCTTTAAGGGTTATTGCCAAAGAACACCTCAATATGTGTTCAGCAACATCTCCCAAGTACAGTGATATTACCCATGTATAGGTGTGTCGGGTTCTCGGGGGGCTAAAATACCTTATTAGGAGGGTGCGCATTCCAGTTTTCCAACTTTTTTCACATCTGGTCATCATGCACCCATGTCCTATTTGGGACATTCTTGAAGTCGCCAATGTAATTTACCTCCATCAGACCATAGTTTTTGTTTTTTTTAACCCCTTAAGGACATAACTTCTGGAATAAAAAGGATTGATGACGGAATATTTCCGTCATGTGTCCTTAAGGGGTTAAAGTAGACAGCCTAGGTTATTTCAAATGGTGGTATTTTAACACTTTCCATGCACTAATTTTACCATCAGTCTTTGTCAAACTTTTGGGTAGTAATTTTTTTGTGTTAGTTTTCTCTCACATTGTTCTTTAGGCATGGATTTGCAGTTCCTTTTATGTGTTACTGACAAAGGCACCCAAACATGTGTTCGGCAATATCTCCTGAGTACAACAGTGCCCCCAATGTACAGGTTTTAGGAGTTTTTGCAAATTTACAGGGGTCAAATGTAGGGCTTTTACATGTTTGCACATTGAAATTTGCCAGATTGGTTTGCTGGTCCTATGTTGCCTTTCAGACTGTATAGCAGCCCAGGAATGAAAATTAACCCCATCATGGCATATCATTTGTAAAAGCAGACAACCCACGGTATTCAAAATTGGGTACGTCCAGTGTTTTTTTTTTAGTAGCCACTTAGTCACAAACCCTGGCCAAAATTTGCAATTATAGTTTTTTTTGCATTTTTCACACAAAAATTGTGATATCAGTATAATACATTTTACTGCTCTAAAATACATGTCATATTTGTATAGAGTAATGTTTCACGAGTACAACAGTACTCCTTAAGTACAGGTTTATGGTGATTTGGAAAGTTACAGGGTCAAACATAAGATTTGCCAATTTCTGTTTTTGTAAATTGCTATTTGCCAGATAGGCTATGTTGCCTTTGAGACGGTATGGTAGCCCAGAAATGAAAATTAACCCCACCATGATATACCATTTGAAAAAGTAGACAGCCCAGGGAATTAAAAATGGGATATGTTCAGTCTTTTGTAGTAGCCACTTAATCACAAACGCTGGCCAAAGTTAGCGTTTTCATTTTTTTTTTTTACACAAATACTGCACTTTTCCTGTTATTTTATCGTCGTGATAGTTTTTACGGTTTGAAACACTCATATTTGTGTTCAGCAAAGTCTCCCGAGTGTGTGTGTGTATATATATATATATATATATATTTTTTTTATTTATTTAAACAAAAACTGCACTTTTACTGGTGATACCATCATCGTGATAAGTTTTACTTTTTAAAACGCTCATTTGTATTTAGCGAAGTCAATACCCCCCATGTAAAGGTTTTATGGTGTAGAAAGTTACAGGGTTAAATTTAGGACCAATTAAATTCTCTGGACTGTCTGCCTGGGTTGTCAGGCAGGTCCCTCAAATTATAATTAATAAAATCAAATAACTATGTAGTAATAGGGAATATATATATATATATATATATATATATATATATATATATTGTGTTTATGTATAGGCAGACCCCAGGATCGGCGGGGGATCACCAGCGATCAGGTAAGTGGCGATTTACTATTTACCATTTTTTGTCTGATGTACCTGGTAAGTCCGAGGTCGGGAGGGGTTAAAAATAATCTGCTCAATTCAAAAGTTGATCACATTGTTGTTGAATTTACCATTCGTTTATCAATTATTGGAAAATTAGAACTTACCATGTCAACAAATGCCACATACATGAATAAACCGGCTGTAAGAGCAAAAATCCACATTGACACATTTTCTGCATAATGGCCAATAACAATGCCTGTTATCATCCCCAGGTATGCAAGCATTGCAGACAGAGCATTGTATAACACAGCCTGCTTCACGGTCATGCCTGCCTTCAAAAGAACTGCAAAGTCACCTTGATAAAGAAAACACAAACAAACTTATTTTAACCCCTTAAGGACATAGGCAGTTGTACAAATTCAGATTAAAACAAAATTTTGAATTAGCGCTATATGTCTGTTCAACTATAATTAACCTCTTGCAAAATAAATGCACCCACACTTATTTTACGTCATTTTGTTCAGGAGAAACAGGGCTTTCATTTCATATCAGATATTAATATATGAATCATAATTTAATATGAATAAGAAATGTAATTTTTTTAGTTCTGCATAGCATTTTAATTGTGAATGTCATAATACTGTTAGCTGTTACTGCAATAAAGTACACATATTTGTATTCAGCGATGTCTCACGAGTAAAACCGTTCCCCCTCCATGTATAGGTTTTATGTTGTTTTGGAAAGTTACAGGGTCAAATATAGCAGGTTAAATTTTTCAGTTTATAAACATAAAATTTTGCCAGACTGGTTATGGTGTCTTTGAGACAAAATGGTAGCCCAGGAATTAGAATTAACCCCATGATAGCATACCATATGCAAAAGTAGACAACCCAAGGTATTTCAAATAGGGTATATGTCCAGTCTTTTTTAGTAGCCACTTAGTCAAAAACAGTGGCCAAAGTTAGTGTTCATGTTTGTGTGTGAAAAATGCAAAAAAACTAATTTAAACGCTAATTTTGGCCAGTGTTTGTGACAAAGTGGCTACTAAGAAAGACTGAACATATCCAATTTGTAATACCTTGAGTTGTCTACTTTTGTAAATGGTATGCCATCATGGAAGTAATTATCATTCCTGTGCTACCATAACCAATCTGGCAAATTTCAATGTAAAAAAACAGAAATGCAAGCCTTGTATTTGACTCTGTGACCTTTGAAAACACCGCCCATGTACAGGTTTTATGGTGTCTTGGAAAGTTACAGGGTTAAATATAGGGCTTGCAAAGCAAATTCTGTGGACTTTATGCCTTGGTTGTAAGGCAGGTCCCTCAAATAGTAATTAATAAAATGACTTAAGTAAAAATATTACATAAATATATACACACTTTAAAATCTTCCCCAAGCCTAAAGTCCTTTAAGAGATCCCTCTCTACATATCTCAAAACAGAATGCATGTGTGATGGTTGATTATATATTTCCTACCTGTTCACCCTAATGTATCAATGTAATGTTTTGTGGACCCAGGACATACTGGAAAACAAGTATCTTTCCTGGTAAAAACCAAACAACACCAACACACACAGAATTTAAAAAAAAATGTTATTAGATGGAAAAAGTATGTGAACCCTTGGATTTAATAACTGGTTGAACCTCCTTTGGCAGCAATAACTTCAACCAAACGTTTCCTGTAGCTGCGGATCAGACATGCACAACGGTCAGGAGTAATTCTTGACCATTCCTCTTTACAGAACTGTCTCAGTTCAGCAATATTCTTGGGATGTCTGGTGTGAATCGCTTTCTTGAGGTCATGCCACAGCATCTCAATCGGGTTGAGGTCAGGACTCTGACTGGGCCACTTCAGAAGGTGTATTTTCTTCTGTTTCTTCTGTTTAAGCCATTCTGTTGTTGATTTACTTCTATGCTTTGGGTCATTGTCCTGTTGCAACACCCATCTTATGTTAAGCTAGACAGATGGCCTTAAGTTCTCCTGCAAAATGTCTTGATAAACTTGTGAGTTCATTTTTCCTTCAATGATAGCAATCCGTCCAGGCCCATGACGCAGCAAAGCAGCCCCAAACCATGATGCCCCCACCACCATACTTCACAGTTGGGATGAGGTTTTGATGTTGGTGTGCTGCGCCTTTTTTTTTTGCCACACATAGTGCGCTGTGCTCTTGCAGTCATCTTTACAGGACGGCCACTCCTAGGGAGAGTAGCAGCAGTGCTGAACTTTCTTCATTTATAGACAATGTGTCTTACCGTGGACTGATCAACCCTTTCCAGCTTTATGCAAGTCAACAATTCTTAATCGTAGGTCTTCTGAGAGCTCTTTTGTGCGAGACATCATTCACATCAGGCCATGCTTCTTGTGAAAAGCAAACCCAGAACTGGTGTGTTTTTTTTATAGGGCAGGGTAGCTGTAACCAACACCTCCAATCTCATCTCATTGATTGGACTCCAGTTGGCTGACATCTCACTCCAATTAGCTCTTGGAGATGTCATTAGTCTATGGGGTTCACATACTTTTCCACCTGCACTGTGAATGTTTACATGGTGTGTTCAATAAAAACATGGCAACATTTCATTCTTTGTGTGTTATTAGTTTAAGCAGACTGTGATTGTCTATTGTTGTGACTAAGATGATGATCAGATCACATTTTATGACCAATTTGTGCAGAAATCCATATCATTCCAAAGGGTTCACATACTTTTTCTTGCAACTGTATATATTCACCTACACACAGAGGAATGTATTATTATACACAAACAAGGAAATGTAACACAACTTTCCTACTTTAGTTTTTTTTTTTTTAAACGCATACTGCTTTCCACTCAATAGCCGTAAACATTTTTAGATATGTCAGCAGGCAGATCTAAGCTGCTAAAATGACTATAACTCAGTTAACAAGAACATTCTATTTTAAATTATGTGAATCATTGGTTAAGTGTGTATCACTAAATGAAAGAATTGCCTTGGCCATGTCAAAGCATATCATTGTTTTGATGTACATAGCAACCCCACTTGTGTTTTCAGTGTTTACATACCTAACTCATGTGGCAGTTCATGGCAAAAAACAGCCACAGATGTGCTTAATCCACTAGATAAGCCTTCAGTAAATGCTGCTCCTGTAATACAATATACAATCTGCATTAGTTGGTACAACTATTATTCAATTCAATTTGTTTTTACTAACAATTTTAATTATACAGTTCAATGTAATAAATAAAAGCACACATAACCACAAAGCAGAGCAAAGAGTAACAAACCACAGTGAGTGCTATAAGATATTTTTGTGATTTTTAAATGGATAAATCTACTTATGTTCGGAATAAGTACCTTGAAAGGGTAGCCAAACATTTGTGGCCACTGAATTAGCTCATTTCACTTTCCTTGCAATCTCTGAAGAGTCTAGTTTGCTTTTTTCTAACATAGCACTCACAATAACAAAAGAAAAAGGAAATCGGGTATTGCTCTAGATTTACAAATAATGCTTCTAAGCAAGATTTTTTTTTCTATAGAAGTAATCAATTGTCCTCCAATTTAAAAAAAAAAAAAAAGAAAGAAAGTCCATAAACCCTAGTGTAAACAAGCATGCACTTAATTCTGCATTATTTTGGGGGTGTATATCTACAAACTTCCTGCAAAGCTGCATATCTTGTCTGCAGCATTTGCAAACTCTCTGTGCTGAGGAATACTCCGATCAGTGGCTTCTCATTGTGCACTAGTGATTACAGCTTTCAAATGCTTCTCAAAGAGCTGTAATATAGCTGATTTAGAATTGAGGGAGGCTGTTACTTGTGTTAGCTCCATGGAATATTGATGTCTATTGAAATCAGAACTTTTAGAAACTGTTACAAATGTGAAAGACTCAAGACAACGCAATTCAACAAGCTGTATGTATATGTGGAGTGTTCTTTTAATCCATGCTAATTTACATTTCAGGATTAGTGCTATATAAATTAGTACTCCGTTTAAAAAACACATGCTGTACAAGGACAAAGCACAGCTCACTTTCAGATTAAAGTCATGATGGTAAATGCTGATTTTTTTATTATACATTGAACAAAATTATAAACGCAACACTTTTGTTTTTGCCCCTACTTTTCATAAGCTGAACTCAAAGATGCAAGACTTTCTATTTATACAAAAGGCCTATTTCTCTCAAATATTGTTCACAAATCTTTCTAAATCTGTGTTAGTGAGCACTTCTCCTTTGCCGAGATAATCCATCCACCTCACAGGTGTGGCATATCAAGATGCTGATTAGACAGCATGATTATCGTAAAGGTGTGTGTTAGGCTGGCCACAATAAAAAGCCACTCCAGAATGGGCAGTTTTATCACAGCACAATGCCACAGTTTTGAGGACGCATGCAATTAGTATTCTGACTGCAGGAATGTCCACCAGAGCTGTTGCCAGTGAATTGAATGTTCATTTCTCTACCATAAGCCATCTCCAAAGGCGTTTCAGAGAATTTGGCAGTACATCCAACCAACCTCAACCGCATACCACATGTAGCCATACCAACCCAGGACCTCCACATCTAGCATCTTCACCTCCATGATCGTCTGAGACCAGCCACCCAGAGAGCTGCTGCAACAATCGGTTTGCATAACCAAAGAATTTCTGCACAAACGGTCAGATACCGTCTCAGGGAAGCTCATCTGCATGCTCATCGTCCTCATCGGGGTCTTGACCTGACTGTAGTTCGTCATCGTAACCGACTTGAGTGGGCAAATGCTCACATTCGATGGTGTCTGGCACTTTGGAGAGGTGTTCTCTTCACGGATGAATCCCGTTTTTCACTATTAGGGCAGATGGCAGAGAGCGCGTATGGCGTTGTGTGAGTGAGCAGTTTGCTGATGTCAACATTGTGGATAGAGTGGCCCATGGTAGCGGTAGGGTTATGATATAGGCAGGCATATGTTATGGATAACAAACACAGGTTCATTTTATTGATGGCATTTTGAATGCACAGAGATACCGTGACCAAATCCTGAGGCCCATTGTTGTGCCATTCATCCACGACCATCACCTCATGTTGCAGCATGATAATGCACGGCCCCATGTTGCAAGGTTCTGAAAACAATTCCTAGAAGCTGAAAACATCCCAGTTCTTGCATAGCCAGCATACAAACCGGACATGTCACCCATTGAGCATGTTTGGGATGCTCTGGATCGGTGTATACGACAGCATGTTCCAGGTCTTGCCAATATCCATCAACTTCGCACAGCAATTAAAGGAGTGGACCAGCATTCCACAGGCCACAATCAACAACCTGATCAACTCTATGCGAAGGAGATGTGTTGCACTGCGTGAGGCAAATGGTAGTCACACCAGATACTGACTGGTTTTCGGAGCCCCCCCACCCCCCAGATCCACCCAATACAGTAAAACTGCACATTTTAGAGTGGCCTTTTATTGTGGCCAGCATAAAGCACACCTAATAATAATTATGTTGTCTAATGAGCATTGTGATATGTCACACCTGTGAGGTGGATGTATTATCTCGGCAAAGGAGACGTGCTCACTAATAAAGATTTAGACAGATTTGTGAACAATATTTGAGAGAAATAGGCCTTTTGTGTACATAGAAAGTCTTAGATCTTTGAGTTCAGCTCATTAAAAATGGGGGCAAAAACAAAAGTGTTGCGTTTATAATTTTGTTCAGTGTATTTTTAGATTATGGTACCTTATAGGAATGCATAATTAACTACAGGGGTTTAGAGGCTAACAAGTCCATCTGTGTGTACAATAGGCAAGTATACATTGATAACACCATAGAAGACACAATTGGAAAGAATATGAGATGCATTTCAAAATGGTTCAAAGTTCAGTTACAAATTTGCCTGTTTATTGGATGGCAGGTGTTATAAACCCACACATGTAATGTTACAGGTTAAATTATTTGTGGGTCGTCAAGCAAACAATTTTCCATTTGCCAGGTTTAATCCAGAGTTGTAAAACATTTTGTTTTACTTACCAATAGCTAAACCATCACTAAAGTTGTGTAATCCGTCGCCCATTATCACCATCCATGCTAGTGTGGCTATGCCAGCATCTTTCAGCTCTTCCCTGGAATAGCGCTGGCAGTGGCTGTGTGGGTGGTGATTCTGGTGGTGATGGTGGTGTAGAATATGATGATAGTCATGGTGATGATGATTCAGATCGTCAGACTGACCAAGTGTGTCATGAAAATGGGAATGACACTTATTTTCACAGCCTCTAGAACCGTATTTTAAATAGTCTGCTTCATCATCTGGATGAGCAATCATTATTTCTTCCTCCTCTTCTTCTGGGGCTGTTGGCTGTTGAGTCTGAAACTGTGTAACATCCTGTGTCTCATTCTCCATGTAGCTCTCATGATCTTTAAATAGAAAAAAAAAAAAGTTAATATTAAAAAAAAGAAAGTAGTATTAGTTACATGGCACCTAGACAATGCCATAACAAAATAACAAATTAAAGGGACACTGCAGGCACCCAGACCACTTCTGCCCATTGGAGTGGTCTGTGTGCCAACGCCCATCACCCTTAAACTCCAGTGTCGCCGGAATGCCCATAGGAAAGCATTGAATAATGCTTTCCTATGGGGAGGTTTAATGCGCCATTGCCACGTATGCGCATTAGGTCTCCCCTGCCGGCTGGATTCAGGTAAGTCACTGAAGGTGTTTTAACCCCTTCAGCAACATGGGATGGGAGGGTAGGAGGGAGAGGGACACTGCAGGAACATGCGGTGCCAGGAAAACGGATATGTTTTCCTGGCACTGGAGAGTCCCTTTAAGAGAAAATGTTGTGATCTCTGTAAGAGAAGATTCAACCAAGCCATAGCATGGAATAGTATGCACAACAATTGCTACCCAAATTATAAACTGACATTAACATTACCATAAATATTAATGGAAAACAACAGATACTTAGATTAGAAATGTTATATTTTTATGTGGGGAATAAAATAAAAAAATAAATCCACAATACTAATGAAAAATCATTTAAAATGTTATACTACCCAACTATTTCTCTCTCTCTTTTAATAGATTAAATCTAAATATATATTAATTTCTTACATATATTGTAGCATTTAAAGAAAAGGAAAATAAAAAAAAAGGATTAAGAAAATGTCAGCTAATTAAATCTTTTCCAAAACCTCGAACAGGAACTGCACTCTATCCCATCACTCTGAGCTAGGGTGCAATCAAACTAGAACTCAGCACCAGGTCCCAATTACAATATGCATAAAGTACAAAGAGGTTTAGGCACTCCAAAGTTCAGAAAAAGCAGTTTATTGAAGCCCGATGTCACACATTCAATAACCTGCAGTTTCTAAACCTTGGAGCTGATGAAATCTTGGCTTATTGCATCAATAGATAATGGTACTACTGGCATTAGTCGTAATGAGCAGCAGCATATTATACTTGATAAAAAGAGGGATAAAAGAAAATAGTTTTACTTATGTTATATCCCCCATGTGCGCCACTCCTGCTGCCACCATTCCTCCCTTGGCAGAGATCACCATGCAGAAGAATTGAGGAGGCAATCTCCGCCCTGCGCAAATCATCATCTCCTCACAGAGATGCAGTGATTCGATCCATTTCTATGAGGATCATTAAGTTCCTTCATGCAGAGTTTGAAGATGCAAACATTGGCTCTGCAAGACTGACGTTTGGCTTCTTCAATGTAAACACTGCCTCTATGCCACAAAACCACTATTTTATGCTTTAGTGGTTCTGGTGCATAGAGGGTCTCTTTAACCCCTTAAGGACCAAACTTCTGGAATAAAAAGGAATCATGACATGTCATGTGTCCTTAAGGGGTTAATAGCAGATAAGTTTTTAAAAAAAAAAAATTAAAAAATTTTTTTGCTACATTTTTATAACTTTGGGGGTGTTTTACTCCACATATGAAAGAAACTGTACACACACCTTTGCACACGAAATACGAACAAGACTAAATGTCTTTATATACAAATTATGGAGTTTGAATTGAAGGGGAAAGGTCAGAGATATCCCCCCCCAACTTTGCTTCTTTAAGTAGAAGGTGCACATAAAGCAGAGACTGCATACAATGTGTCTGGTCAGTATCAGGGTAACAATGCAAAGATGCACATTGTCCTTACCATGGTCAGATTGCAATTTATATCCAAATACGGCTTCTACCATAGAAACAAAACTTAAAAACGCACTTGACGCCTAATATTACTTTAAAGGGTTAGTCCAAGGACCATGAGTTGTTCAGTGTCTTTAAGTGGTCATGGAGCTTGGAGTTGGTATGTGCATTGTTTTGCTATGAAATACTGCATATACAGAGTTTATCGATGCCAGAGGTAGGGATCGACCGATATTGATTTTTTAGAGCCGATACCGATATTCTGTGAACTTTCAGGCCGATAGCCGATATAATTTGCCGATATTCTGTACATTTACCATTTTGGAAAATAAAAACTATTTCTAAAGGTAAATGCACAAAATATACATGCCACGTGTAGTGGATGCAGTGTGACAGGGGAGCTGTGTGTGTGTGTGTAGTGGATGCAGTGTGTGTCTTTGTGTAGTGTGTGTGTGTAGTGGATGCAGTGTGTGTCTTTGTGTAGTGTGTGTGTGTAGTGGATGCAGTGTGTGTTTGTGTAGTGTGTGGGTTGTGGATGCAGTGTGTGTTTGTGTAGTGTGTGTGGAGGATGCAGTGTGTGTTTGTGTAGTGGATGCAGTGTGTATTTGTTTAGTGTGTGTAGTGGATGCAGTGTGTATTAGTGTAGTGTGTATATAATGAAAGCAGAGTGTTTGTGTAGTGTGTGGGTAGTGTGCGTAAAGTGAATGCTGTATATACTAAATGCAAAGTGTGTGTGTATATAATGAATGCAGAGTGTGTGTGTGTGTATTTGTGTAGTGTGTGTGTATAGTGAATGTAGTGTGTGTTTGTATAGTGTGTGTATATAATGCAGTGTGTTTGTGTAGTGTGCATTATATAAACACACTACGCAAATACACTGAATTATATACACACTATGCAAACACACTGCATTATATACACACACTACACACAAACACTGCATTATATAAACACTACACAAACACAAATACACTGCATTATATACACACACTATGCAAACACACTGCATTATATACACACACTACACACACAAACACTGCATTATATAAACACTACACAAACACACACACTGCATTATATACACACACTGCACAAATACACACTGCACAAACACACACTGAATTATATAAACACACTACACAAATACACTGCATTATATACACACACTACACAAATACACAGCATTATATACACACACTACACAAATACACTGCATTATATACACACACTACACAAATACACTGCATTATATACACACACTACACAAATACACTGCATTATATACACACACTACACAAACACACACTGCATTATATACACAGTGTGTTTGTATAGTGTGTGTATATAATGCAGTTTGTGTGTGTATATAATGCAGTTTGTGTGTGTTTGTATAGTGTGTGTATATAATGCAGTGTATTTGTGTGCATTGTATACAAACACACACTATACAAACACACACTGCATTATATACACAGTGTGTTTGTGTAGTGTCTGTGTATATAATATAATATACATATAATATAGTGTGTGAGGGGGAATTTTTTATTAAATTATTTTTATATATATATATATATTTAATTATTATTTTTTGTCCCCCCTCCCTGCTTGTTGCCTGGCCAGGGAGGGGGGATATGACAGTCCCTGGTGGTCCAGTGGTATTGGCTGAGCTTTGGGGGGGCAGAGAGCAAGCGCTTACTCACCTCCCAGCAGCTCCTCCAGCTCCCCAGTGCAACTCTCGCGGCCAGCGTGTCGCACGGAGCGTTGCCATGGTGATCCATGGCAACGCTCTGACGGCCGCGGGTCTCGCGAGAGTTGCACTGGGGAGCTGCTGGGAGGTGAGTAAGCGCTTGGTCTCCGCCCCCCCAGGACCGCCGGGCTTGTAATGAGCCTGGCGGTCCTAGGAGGTATTATCGGCAATATCGGTATCTGAATTGGCCGATACCGATATTGCCGAAAATACCGAATATCGGCCGATTATATCGGTAAAACCGATAATCGGTCGATCCCTAGTATTGTACACAGTACTGGAGACCGTATCATCAGAAGGATATTGATACCTTAGAGAGGGTTCAGAGAAGGGCTACTAAACTGGTTCATGGATTGCCGGATAAAATTTACCAGGAAAGGTTAAAGGATCTTAACTTGTATAGCTTGTAGGAAAGACGAGACAGGGGGGATATGATAGAAACATTTAAATATATAAAGGGAATCTACACAGTAAAGGAGGAGACTATATTTAAAAGAAGAAAATCTACCACAACAAGAGGACATAGTCTTAAATTAGAGGGACAAAGGTTTAAAAATAATATCAGGATGTATTACTTTACTGAGAGGGTAGTGGATGCCTGAAATCGCCTTCCAGCTGAAGTGGTAGAGGTTAACACAGTAAAGGAGTTTAAGCATGCGTGGGATAGGCATAAGGCTATCCTAACTATAAGATAAGGCTAGGGACTAATGAAAGTATTTAGAAAATTGTGCAGACTAGATGGGCCGAATGGTTCTTATCTGCCATCACATTCTATGTTTCTATTAGAGGACATCGCTCAGGAATCACAACAGCGTTTCGGGATCAGCATTCTGATAAACCAGTTGCCAAACATTTCTTGGCTTTACAGCATCGGTTGCCCACATTGAGGTTCATCAGGATTGATCACGCCCAACCTCTGTCCCAAGGAGGGGACAGATCTAAAATCTTGTTACAGCGGGAGGTATACTGGATCCATTATTTGGACACAGTATCCCCCAAAGGACTTCATGAAAATGTCACTTATTCCATGTTTTTGTAAAATTGGAGCCAGTATAATACAGAGTCTTTCTGGTTAGACTCCTGGTCATAGTCTGTTTAGGATGTTTTTTCTACCGAAGAGCAGTATCTTGCTCCCGATTTTGCATATTTGGTATTTTTCATATGCTATATAGCGAAATTTTTTTAGTTAGTTTGAGTATTATATTTTCTATTAACTTTTTCGCTTTACAGTATAGTGTATTCACATGCTTAAAACGGTTGTAATGCAGATTTCTTTAGTATGAGCTAATTACAGAGGAACTACATAGTAATTTGTAGCACTCATTATTCTTTGTATATAATGGGTATTTTCTCATTTTGGCATTTTTTCATGTTCAGCAACTTCAGTGTTGTATATAGTATTCAAATGCTGTTTAAGAATAGGGCACCATCTAAATTGATATGCATTAATATAATATCATTAATGTAGCGGATGGCACTGGGCTGTCCTGGGAATTGCATATGTTTTAAATGTATCCATGTAAATGGCAGGATAATATGTGTAGAAATGTGTTGTATTCGTCTGATTGTTCAGTAGTATCATTCTAACAATTAAGGGAATGAAACTACCGAACAGTCAGACCTCCCCTGTGTGAAGTGTGCCTTCAATTACCCGTTGCAACAATGTTGCGAACGGGTAATTGACAAGCTGGGCAGTAAGTCCTTTGATCTCGGGGGTGGCCGCCATTCGGGAAACTAACACGTGGCGGCGGCCATTTTAAAACTCCCGAAAAGCGGTGTATTGCCGTCGAGTGTCTGGAACCCAAATCAGACACTCGACTAGGCGAACACCGCTGAGACCTCCATAAGCCTGATCCGTTCACTTCCAAACTACCGAACGGCCCCTTGTTCGGTAGACAGTAACAACCGAACGAGGGGATTCAGGCGAACCCTCACTGGTCTCTGTAACTAGAGGCTTTCATGCAATTTGTTCCCTAATGCCAGGACCGACTGCAGGGCCCCATCGCATGGAACCCAATTCGGCTGTTCTCTCCAGCGCGGTCGGTCTTTTTATTCCCTCCATATATTTCCCGAACCCCTGGTCCGATCAGGGTGATTTTTGGATATGTTGTTCACTCAGATCAGGGCTACCAGGGGATGTGCTATTTAAAGAGGTACATCCAGAAACGGGGGGAATTGGTGTCCTGCATAAGTGGATTATGAGTCAGGCTGAGGGGAGGAGATGTTTGGGAGGTTACCAGAACAGGATTGGATACTGTACTGATTAATGGAAATCCCTCCCTTGCATGGGAGCATGCTTTATAAGGCCACTGTACGAATAAAGATTTAGTTCTGCTCCTGATGCTGTGTGTCGTCCAGTCATTGGGATCTGTATGGAGATATTCTTGGATTGCTTCATGGAATTTTCTATCACTTGTTCCTGAGCCTCACTGGGATCTTGGTGGAGTAACCTGTGGAATACCAGGTCTCCGCTACAATTAATGTGTCAATTATGTTTATTTCATAGTAATGTTTGCAAGTTTATTAGTACATTTTGTATTTAGCATGATTTAAATTATCTTGTACTCATACATACAACTTGTCACTAGACCTATTTGCCACTTATTCACTATTATGTTTTCACTTGACCACTAACTTTGCAAACAGCTTCACTGGTGTGAGCACTTGTTCATTGCACTGTGGCTTTTAGGTATTTTGTGACATTTGGCATGTCTTTTGCCCATTATCCATGTATACCATGGATCTTCTGTCCTGTTGTTGTTTTTACCCCAACCTCAGGTTCACTTTCTATCTTAGAATTACGATCCTACCCAGTAGCTTGGTAGGTTTCTATGGTGATCACGCTGTCACTCCGCCGGACGTCCACGCGTGATGACGTTGAGTAGGCGGTCCTAACTCACTTCCGGGTACCGGTGAAAGGGTTCACAACGAAATTGATTGGTAAGTGCACTTACATTTTATGTATATATATATTTAATGATTGAGATGTTACAGTAACCTTGAAAAAGACCCGCAGGGGTCAAAACGTCGGTTGTCTTTGTCTTGCACATGATTTAATAAATCACATTTTTTTTTGCTCAAGTCCTGAGACTGCATCCTGGATATCTTTTTGTTTATATATTGGATGCACTGTGGATTGCACCCGGGCAGGTATAATACCAATAAGGAGAGTGCCAAGCTACCCATTGAAATATATATATATATATATATATTGTGACCTTTAAGGGCAAAGCAACACAGTCCTCTAGGGTAACAGGTACAGAACAACAGTCTCTTATGTAAAAATGGTGTGGTTTATTTACATCGTGCACAAAAATCCATGCAGCAATCCATTTGTTCAAAACATCAGAAAAACAGAAAGGAAAGTCTACAAACAAAATCCTAGCTCAAATTCGAGCACTAACTAAACAAAGTAATGTCCCTTTCTAAACCAGGGTAATAAACTACACAATTCAACAAAATAAACATTGGTTTCACCAACCTTTCGCACTTTGTTTCTGGCAGCCAGAAATCTCATAGCGACAAATTGGAAAAATACAATATGCCCATCTATGACAATACCCTAAAGCCAATAGGAATATAAGAAGAAAAGACAAATGTTAATATAAGATTGGTGACTGCAATATAAGGTAGAGAACAATGTACTTATCTAAAGAATAATTATGTTTTTCTTTATTTCCATGTGTATACTTATTAGTCTTCAATCATTTAAGAAAGGCCTTAAAACCCATCTCTTCAGGAAAGCTTATGGCCTCCCAGAGTAATCTCTACCTTACATACCTGTCTCCTGCTCTCTCCTATGGGACAGTGCTTTGCTCTCTCCTCCAGCTCTGCTTCACACCTACTTGATATTTCCTGTCCTAATGTTTCTAATACCCCACCTCCTATAGTCTGTAAGCTCATTTGAGCAGGGTCTTCTTCAACCTATTGTTCCTGTAAGTTTTCTTGTAATTGTCCTATTTATTGTTACATCCCCCCTCTCAAAATATTGTAAAGCGCTACGGAATCTGTTGGCGCTATATAAATGGCAATAATAATACCCACTCCACACAGCAGAACAGGAAAAGCCATATGAATAAATCCCCCCCTCCCCCCAGTACGAGACGAGGTTCTGTATTGAGGGCCAAGCAGGAATTTGGTTTAATGGGGTGCCCGATCCGCCTTTGTTTTCTGGCCCATATTTTTGTGACCAGCTGCAGGGAAGGTAACTGCCCGTGTGCTCTCGTTTTCGTCTGTTAAATTAGCTGTGATCTGTATTTTGATCACTGATCGACTGGCAGCTTGTGTAGGTTTATTTTTATTTGGACTGGATAAAAGGGTGTGTTTTTTGTTTGTTTTTTTACTTAAACGTTCTTAAAACATTTTTGAAAAACTTTTTAAACTTTTTAAAGCTTATTTTAAAACTTAGTTTTAACATTAACCCCTAGTTGGCCTAATACCAAAAACCCCCAATTCCCCACTAACTTCCACCCACCCCAGCTAGCTAAATATATAATTTTACAATATTTAAATTAATCAAATAAATTGAACCCCTGAGGGTTAAAAAAAATATACAAAATAACCCTCAGGGGTTAAAAAATAATAATCAGATGACAGTAAAATGTAATCCCTGCCAATTGATCACTTACTACAATGAAGGGGTTAATTTTTAGTTAAAATGGGTAAAGGGGGTGGGAGTTTAACTAAACTTTATTATTTTTACAGGGAGAAGATCATCACTGATCCGTCTCCTTGCACTTCACACAGAACCCGGAAGTGCAGGGAGGCGGATGGTAAGTCCCTGCAGCACATGTGCTCGCTCTGACAGCTGTGTGATTACCAAATTCTAATGTAACCCAAACGGACTATGTTCGCCTCACTAACTTTTATGCTATCCTTCACATCCAGGACCACCCCTCCCCCTTTATTGCCCTCTCTGTCTTTTCTATATAAAGAGTACCCTGGTATTGCTATATCCCAGTCATTTTTCCTCATTTTACCATGTCTCCGTAACAGCCACTAAATCTACACTCTCAGTTGCCATTATTGCCACAAGTTCATGGATCTTATTCTCTAAACTGCGAGCATTTGTAGACATGACTCTAAGCATATCATTTTTTAACACCCTTGTTACAGTTACTTTCTGTTTTTGTTTTGGGGGCAATTGGATTGATGTGTGGTCACCCTTTTGCCCCCCTCCCCCCCCCCAGTTTAAATACTTCCTAGCAAAACCTCTGAACTGCTAGCTGAGAATCCTTTATTCCCTTTTCAGAAAGATGCAAACCATCTTTTTTGTACAGCTTATCTCCATTCCAAACAGAGCTACCATGAGAAATAAAGTCAGATCCTTGCTCCCGACACCATTCGCCAAGCCACAAGTTAAAGGCCCTAATACGCATCCGCCTGTCGTTCTGACAAGTACATCTTATTCCCCTTCCTGCTTTGCTTGCTTAACAATATTACAAATACGTCTCCTGTCTCTGTGAGCAGTAGCTCCAAGAAGACATCTCACAAAGCCACTATTGTTCAACTCTACTCCTCTTAAGATAGAATACCGCAACAACAACTGCTTTCTATTAAGCCTCACCTTGTCCTTTTTTTATCCTGGGGTGCACTCTTGCTCACCTTAGGCATAGAGGATGGTGGTTCCACAAAATCGGTACATGAGCCTTTATTTATTTTGCCAGAGCCTTATTTATTTTGTTCTATTTTCTTTTCTTTTAGTCCAGTGTATCACAGTTTATTGTGTCTTAACCTATTTTATTTTACTTTAAGTTATAACGCTTTATATAGTTCATTGTGTGTCAGTCTCGCTGGGGGTGGTTGCCCAATTGGTCTACAAGATAGGTTCCCTTAACATGTCATACAATGTCAGAGGCGTTAATTCACTGGAAAAAATAACACGGCTAAAGGCTGACGTTGTCTTTGTCCAAGAAACACACCTGAGGGGAAAAAAATAGCTCATATTTACAACAACAACTTTTCCAGAAGTAAATCACAGGGCGTAGCTATCCTAATAGGGTCTCACATACCCTTCACCTACACAGAGCATCTTACAGACTATTCGAGGCCGGTACATTATACTGCTGGGTCTTATAGGTTCTTTCCCGATAACATTTGTCGCACTTTATATCCCAAACAGAAACCAATATGAAACATTTCACATAATGTCCTTAGTACAAAATAATACAGTGGGTACGTTACTCATAAGAGGGGATTTTAATATCTCCCTAGGTGCACTAACTGCCACTAACACTACACATCTAGCAACAGCCAGACACCAAATGAAACACATCAAGGGAGTAGAAACAGCCCAGACATACACATTTTATATATATTTTAGATATATACTTAAGAAATTAATTTTACTTTTTAAATTTAATGTACACCTACAAGAAGGAACCATTTTAAGATAAAATTTAACCAAAGTCCAGATGCATTAAAATCATACTTTATGGCGCAAAAAGGAGACATTCAGTCTGCTAAAACAGACCAACATCCCTGTGAAGTTGGTAGTTAGTTTGATTGATGTGTCATAGCGATAAGACAACTGTGATGTCAAATACATCATGAAATTAAATTAACCCATTATACAAAGTGGTAGTGGGAATTTGTACATACATTTTTGTGATGCTACAATGCCATCTATTGATCAAAGTCTATAAAACAATCAGTAGAAGGAGGTACACCCATCTAATCCCATTGGTCACTTTAAATTAGTGATGTAAAGAAACTTAAGATAAGGTTTTCTTCAAATTATTAAGAGAGGTGGGGGGTTGGGGCAAAACAATAAGCAAAAAGCAAAGGAGGAAGACCCAGCTAAAGGCAAACTCTGGACACATCTAACACTCTGTATTTTCCAAATGAATTTCTGGGACTTTGAAAACCTAACATTCTATCTTTTCTATCTTAATCGTGGACTTTGTTAAAATTCTTTACTAATCAGATTTTTTTTAATTTTTTTTTTATTCTTTATTTTTGACAGTGCAGTAGTGAGTACATCCTTTGACAATGGTATGGATAAGCATAGGTACATCGGTAATAGACATAAGACAATGTTAGTTAGTATAAAAATTCAAAGCATACTGCACTGTTATTTTTTGTTTAAAGTAGCGTAATAACATATATGAACAGAGCAATCATATATCTCAGCCTGCATGTCCCAACTACATATGGTACTGACGTTTACGTCTGTTATCTGAGCAGGAAGGGGGTCAGTAAGGCACATGTTTGGAACACAAAAGCAGGAAAAAAAAAAGATGAGATAACTGTAAATAAACATAGTGGGCAGTCCTATCTAACATTAGAAACATGCGGCCTAGGCAGGTTAGGCTCAACACAGAGCAGGCATAAGGTTCAGGGTCACTAGTGGCTAGCTGATTCCTAAGATGGTATGCTAGGACATACGCCCGGAACCAGGGCCGGACTGGGACCTAAAAATCAGCCCTGGAAAAAAATTCTATACCAGCCCAATAATGCGTCGCACCAGCATAGTGTGCTGATAAAGAGGGTGAAAAAATAACTTGAAATTGAAAACTCTTACTCCAACGAAGGAACTCATATAGGGCTTCAAAATAAACAAAAGAGCGCCTTTATTTTAAGTAGACGTACATTTGCATGTAATGTTTCAGTACAACTACTTTGGCCTATTAAGGACATTTTAGTAATGGTACTGAAATGCTGAATGTCTGCAGTTGCACAACTAAAAAATGAAGTGATCTTGTTTATTTTGAAGTTCTATGGGTGCGCTCTTCACTTTGAATATGTTATTGTGCATGAGTATGCAACTAGCAACAAGACAGGGCCAATACGTGCTCATTATATATATATATATATATATATATATATATATATATATATATATATTTTGACATGTATTAAGGCAATTTGCCTGCATTTGTGGGAGGTGCTGGTTTGCTACCACTAGCCTACTTAAGGCACTCCCCTTACCTTGCTCCTTACCGTTCGAGGTCAGCGTTGAATGAGGATCCACTTCCGGGTTCTCTCAGACGCCATCTTGGTTTCAGTATCCACGAGGTTTCACTATGTTAAGTTGTGTCCAGGAATCCTGTTCAGGCCTTTCCGCCCGTCCAGCTTCTTCTGACTCCGGTCTCTATCGTAGATCGCGTCCCAGGGACTCCTAAACCGTAAGTCGGACCTTCCTGTCACGCCAGGACCGGTTCCCACGGCGTACGGTACAGCACGGGTCCTTGCTTTACGGCTTTTTCCCTGCTTATGACACGAATGTTTCAAGCCATTCGCAGGCTTTTTCATTCGTACGGTCATTCGGCTGAACATATTTAATCGTTTCAATAGTCATTTCGCATATCCTATTTCATGTTATTGAAATGAATTATCATTTGGTTGTTTTGCCGTTCGGCAAATTTTTACTTACGCTCAAACACGCTTTCGGTTCGCATAAGTCATACGGTTAAACTATTCTAACTTTTGTGTTTCCCTCACATTTGCTTTCGGCTTTTCTGTGTGTTCACGTATAATCCTTTCATGAATTATATTCACCATTTCATGTGTATATAACATTTGGTTAAAGAATTGCAGGCTTAAATAGATTATTTTGATTACTTTTAAAATATTGTCAGTATTGTATTACGTCCACAAATCAAGTCCACTTCTCTGTATATACCATTTGACTCCCACGCTTTCAGGGGTCTGCATTACTTATCCATTTATACAAATGGACTCAGCCTATGTTACAGGCCTCACTTCTGGGTTATTACTACAACACATACAAAGGATATAGGTTCATTTAAGCAATAATTCTCGGGTTGATACGTCTTTTCTATACAATATATCATATAGATATACATCACTTTTACATCATTTTAAATCATTTTGGGGTATCCCTGCCTTTGGTTATTCTGCTACATATCATACATACATACATGTGTTAAATAGGCCATGACCTCATTCATGTCCCTTTCTATAAAACCAGTTACATTTCTGTACAGATCATTGAAACTCCCACGCCAGGAGTTTTATAACTATCCATTTCATTTCAATTCACTCAGCCTATATTACAGGCCTCATTTCTCTGTCATGACAATGACACATAAGGCTTAATTCCTTTTTCATGCATACTCGGGTTGAATCACACGTACTGATCCAACCAATCATACGTTCCCTGCACAGTCATATACATATGTATATAACCTACGTTTCATGTTTTCCTTTACACACCATTATCACGTAACACATAGATTGTTGGTACATAGGCCACGGCCTCCCTCAGATGTCTTATTCAAGCATGCAAACATTTCTGAGCCACTCACAGCTATTCCCATGGTATCAACATAATTTTAATACATTGCTGCTACGGACTATAAGTCTGTTTCTTTTCACACTCATCATACTACTGTCAAGCTTATATAATTGCTCCACACGGTTTATTCCTGTGATTTGTCATACTACCAGGTATGTACACCTGCTCATATGGTATTCTACCATACATTTCATTTCATCCCCCCTAGTTTAGAGTACTGGCAATAGGGTCACAGGATTCCCAATAGGTATTTACCCCGTCTTGGCTGTCGCCATCAGTTAGTGGTCCCGCGAGGCCAACACCCCGCCTCAAACGTTTCGGAGGCAAACACCCATCGGGCCACACGTTAGCTAGCCGCCTCGCATGTTGCAAAGAGAGGGCCTCACCTGTCACTCCCTTCCCCTGTTTTCTATACTAATTATTGTTTTATTTATAGTATGTCTCAGGAAGGGGTAGAGGATTTCTCCCTGCCTAGCACCCCGGCTAGAGCTGTCACTCCCACACAAGGAGGAGAGCTAGCTTGTCCAGCATCAATCAGATCCTGGACAATCCCGCGCATAACCACGGAATTAAGGAGACGACAAATCCCCTACCCCGCTACAGCAAGGAAGGCAGAACTTTTCAAACTGCTACGCACATCAACTAATAACATGGAGGCCGGGGAAGGATCTAGCCAGTCCAACCCAGGGGACATACATGCCATGTTATTTTCACTCATGACATCCATGGGCAAGGTAAACTCCTGGCTGGAGAAACTTGAGTCGGTCACCACGGCCCTCACTCTAGCAGGGCCACCCGCGGCTGCGGTACAAACACCAGCCTTGCCATTAGTCGCTCCAGCCAGCACCCTGGATGACCAGGAAGTTAGCCCGGCCCACATGATACCTGAGCATATCAAAAGGGATATCCTGGAAGGTAAAGACGTCAACCTGGCTTCCCTGTTGATTGCCTCCCAGGACATTGTGGAACATAAGACGTATGCTTATGATGATGTTTCTGTTATTGTCAGATCTAGGGATGCCCGCCTGAACAGGAAACTGACTATCCCAGAATTTGTACTAGCGTTTGGTATTTACAGGGATGTCATCTGTGCGGTTTATCCCAACAGAAGAGAGGAGTTTGATCTCTATATGCACAAGCTGGTAGACCTGGGCAACAAATATGGTGGTTCGGCATTCTATGACTACCATAGGTCTTTTTCTGCAAAAGTGGCTGGAGCCTTCTCCCAGTACGGAACACGATCCAACTGGGGAAGGATTGATACCGTCTTATTTTGCAGACACTTTGCAGGTCTAAGAACACCAGCTTGTGCATATTGCTCCTCCACAGCCCATACTACTAATTTTTGTCCCAACACGGCAGACGGACATGCCTCCACACAAGGAACTAGTTCCTCTGGGGATCCGGGGAAACTATCAAAAGACAAATTGGGACGCCCAATCAAGTTTCTGGGCAAGTCCCAGATATGTAATAATTTCAATGTTGGGTCTTGTAATTACAGTGGATGTATACTATTGCATGTCTGTTCAAAATGTTTTAGGGCACATGCAAAGACCATGTGTCCAAATAAAATGTATTCCAAGCCTTACCTTACGTCCATTAATATGCCAGTATTCACAGCATTGATGTCTCAGCACCCATCTAGACACCTGGTAGACTTTCTTATTTCTGGTTTAACAGAAGGCTTCCACACAGGTATCCTACACATACCAGCTCGAACACTAGAATGCCCTAACCTACAATCTGCCCAACACAACCCCACAGTGGTTGACACCCTCATAGCCCAAGAAGTGGATGAGGGCTTAGTATTGGGGCCTTTTAGAACTCCTCCATTCACAGAATGGCGCACCAACCCTATTGTCACAGGGAAATCTTCCCAAAAACAGAGACTCATCATTGACTTATCGGCTCCCCACTCATCAGCCAACCCCAGTCTTACCCTCTGAGGAATTCTCTCTGCAATACACCACCATAGATCACGCCATTACAGCTATCATACAAGCAGGGGTTGGAGCCTGGCTCAGTAAGACCGACATTACTAACGCCTTCAAATTACTCCCTATCCACCCCACACTGTGGCACTTGCATGGCATCAAGTGGTCCGGGAACTACTATTTTTTCTCCCGGTTAACTTTTGGGTCCAAAAGTAGCCCAGCTATTTTCGACACATTTGCTGAAGCATTATGCTGGTTACTATTGAACATAGCCGGATGCCCTACGGTATTACATTACTTGGACGATTTCCTACTGGTCGAGGAGAATACTGCACCTCCCACTAGCCTCAAAGCTACCACTAAGCTGTTTGAGCAACTAGGTGTACCCATCTCCCCAAAGAAAACAGAAGGGCCAGACACGGTTATCACTTTTCTGGGTATCCAATTAGACTCTGCCACAATGCAAGCAAGCCTACCATACGATAAGATAGAGAATATTCTCACTTACATAAACAACTACCTATTTTGCGATGCGCATCATACCTCAAGGCCGCTCCTTTATTTCACGACTATTGCATCTTTTCCCACTTTTTCTACATGACACGCACAGGTTGTCCTTAGATAACCAAGCTACGGCAGATCTAAACATGTGGAAGAGATTTTTAACCACTTGGAATGGTAAAAGTATGTTCCTCCCTCAATTGACTGAATCATCTCCTACCATTTGGTCAGATGCGGCATCTACCACTGGTTTTGCAGCAATTTTTGGGAACGAATGGCTTTGGGGCAGCTGGCCTTCAGCAGTTCTGGATTTGGAAGGTTTTTCCACTACCTCAGCTCTTTTTGAGATCTACCCCATAGTGGCGGCTGCCGTAGCGTGGGGTCATTTATGGGCTAATACGCCAGTGCGTTGTTACTCAGACAACCAGGCAACCTGTCACATCATCAACAAAGGTCGTTCCAAATCTCTTACGATCATGAGATTTCTGAGGAAACTCACTTGGTTGGCAGCTTGTCATAATTTCTTCCTATGTTGTTTCCATGTGCCAGGTGTATATAACACAGCTGCTGACAATTTGTCTCGCTTTAAATTTCAGGAGTTTCATCAAGCACTCCCGTCAGCAGCACCCACAGCCACCATCACTCCAACATTTCAACAACTCATACTGGACTAGACGTCATCATGCAGCATAGCAGGACATTGTCCCAGTTGGCACTTTCAAACAATACAAACAAAACATACAGCAGGGCTTTCACACTATTCAAACGATTCCTTCTGGAACATAACATCATACAACCATTTGTTATGACATCTTTTTTGGGGTTTGCTTCCTTTTGCCACCTTAAACTCAAAATGTCATACAACACCATCAAACTCTATCTCACTGGCATTCAACACCACATGCTCATCTTACACCCAAATAACAACAGTTTCATGGCCTCTCACCAAATTAAGACCATACTCAGAGGTATTCAAAAATCAGAACCCACACATTTGGCCCAGAGGCTACCCATAGATAACCATATATTCAAAGCATTATCTAACCTACTTGACCTAAAACCGTTTTACACTAATACGAATTCTATCATCAAAACAGCAATATACATCGCTTTCTATGGATTTCTACGACCCAGAGAATTCACTACGACCTCCACGACCCAAACCACTCCATTCCTCCTCTATTCCCACTTGACAAAACATATGGATCATTACATCCTGTGTTTACCTCACTCCAAAACCAGCCAGCACATACCTGTAAACATTCCATACTATCCCACGCACAACAGATGGTGTCCCGTCAAGGTTCTTGATGCCTACATACAGCACCATCACTTACTGCCCTCGCAACCGTTATTACAACTACAAGGTGCAGTACTCACCACTACAACCTTCATGACCTACGTCAGGTCCTTGCTCACACAACTGGGCCTCAACGCAAACAATTACTCAGGACACTCCTTTCGTATAGGAGCCGCGTCCACAGCCTCCAGTGTCAACATCCCAACTCATGTTATCAAAACACTGGGGCGCTGGAAGTCATCCGCTTACTCACGGTACATACCGAACCCAGTACAAGAATTAAGGGATGCTTTCATAAACATGTCTGGTTGATAAATGTATATGTATTGGTTGTCTGTTAATAAATTTGATTACTTAATTTTTGCCCTCTTCTTTCTTAGGCCTACCTCATCGTCGGTTTCGGCACACCACAACCGACTTGCTCCTTTTATCATCCTACGCTTATTCATGGTATTTCATACTGTACTATCTTAAGCACCTAACACAAATATTATATATATATATATATATATATATATATTGACATATTTAATGACATTTATGTGTGTATTATGCATAAATAAATGTATATTACTATATGTGTAAATATTATAGGCATAATTATATGTTACTAATACACACATCAATATACATGCATATATATGTGTATTACTGTCAGGATCACATCAATTTACGTCTATTGCCTTTACCTCGTTTAGTGTATCTTGTCTCCAATTGTCTCCTTTTTTTTCTCTTACAGCGACCCTTGTGCATCTTTACTTCATCCCAGTCCCTGTGTGTTTCTTTTTACCCTTCTCCAGCCTCTGTATTTCTCTTTCCCCCAGCCCCTTTTGTGTTGTTCTTAGCCCCAGCCACTTTGTCTCTTTCTCCCCTTCCAAATCTCATCTGTGTGTCTCTTTCTAACTCCAGACTCTGTGTGCCTCTTTCTCTTCTCCCAGTCACTCTCTGTCTCTTTTTTATCAGCCCAGCGTTGCCTCCCACAAATCTTGTCACTTTGTTCCCCTTCCCTACTGCATGTCTCTCTGTCCCCCCAACAAACCTTCCGTGTGTCTCTCTTCCCCAACTCCTCCCTGTGTCTCTGAGTCCCCCCTTCTCCTGTGTCTCTCTATTACCCCTCTCTTTGTCCCCCCAACCTACTATTACCCCTCTGTCTCTTTGTCCCCCCTTCCCTGGTGTCTCTCTATTACCCCTCTATTTGTCCCCCCATTCCCCTCTATTTGTCTCCCTCCATTCCCCTCTATTTGTCTCCCTCCATTCCCCTCTATTTGTCCCCCATTCCCCTCTATTTGTCTCCCCCATTCCCCTCTATTTGTCTCCCCCTTCCCCTCTATTTGTCTCCCCCTTCCCCTCTATTTGTCTCCCGCTTCCCCTCTATTTGTCTCCCCCCCTTCCCCTCTATTTGTCTCCCCCCCTTCCCCTTCTGTGTGCCTGCTTACCTTGTCACAGGAGGTCTGAGGGAGGGGGCGGAGCTAGCTACCATGCTCCCTCGCGGTTCCCATAATTCCCAGCATCTACACATCATAGAGTAATCCCTACTCTATGATGTGTAGATGCTGGGAATTATGGGAACTGCGAGGGAGCATGGTAGCTAGCTCCGCCCCCTCCCTCAGTCCTCCTGTGCTGACAGCTGCGCAGCTGTCAGTATCAATGAGTGTGCCGCCGGATTGCTTAGGCGGCCGCCCGGCACACTCACTGATACTGACAGCTGTCAGCACAGGAGATGGGGCCGCCGGCCGCAAGGTGAGTAATCACCTCAGAGTGTGCCGCCGGATTAAAATATTAGGGTGCAGGGCTCCCTCTCTCCGGCCCCCCAGGTGCCGCGGCCCACCGGGATATTTCCCGGTATCCCGGTGGGCCAGTCTGGCCCTGCCCGGAACTTGCTGAGGTAATAGGCCCATTCGAATTAAGTTGACAGGGTGCTTAAAATATATGTATATTTGTCTAGCTTCAATTTTTGTGAAGCCAGACACATACAGAGCATTGCGAATTGCGCCTAGGGTGTAAAGCAGGCTAGCTGTTTAAATGTATGCGCATTTAAAACAAGAAAAAAAAGAAACAACAAGCACATTTTTACATTAGAGACATCAGGCTTGAACAAGGTAGTAGTCGGTGAAACGGTAGCACTGCAATTGGTAAAACATAGGTTGTGCTGGCTGACTATGTGAGTGAGAAGTATAAGAATAAACTAGTGCTTTACACATGTGACCTATTAGTCAATCGAGAGTCATAACAGTTGACTGCCTAAACATATCATGTGTTAGCCAATATGTATGTGGCCACCACATTCCTGCCAAACACTGCGAGCCCTAGAAACACCACATGTGCAACACAAAATACAACAAATTTTCAGCGTAGGCTGCTGTAAGGGTAGCAGTTAAATGCAAGGCGTTATACATAAGTATGTCATACATATTAGCTAAATGCAACCACTAGATGATACCATATTGCCATGTGGTAAGTGTGTCCGCGGGTGGAAATCCAGTGAGGGGAGTTCATGCAAGCCAATTGGGCCAGGTCCCCCCAAGTCCTTGGTAGTGAGTGTTACAAATCGGGCTGCCAGTCCAAGAGGCTGGTTTAGCCTATGCCGCTGCTAAGTAGTGCCATAGTGCAGTCCAGTAGGATGGAATAGACGGCACCGTCGTCTTGGTTAATCCTCAAGAGTGCAGCAAGGTGCGGGTTGATGGTGGCCGCCTTCTGGCCCCAGGTCTCCACAAAGGCCTGCACCTGTAATCTACCGACTCGGTTGTCCATAGTGCCATGCAAGGCCTGGGTGTTAAGTCGCCACCAGTGGCGGGCAAGCCTCCGGTGATGTGGTCGGTGCCTCTGAGTTTGACTCTCTGCGGCCTTCAACCTGGCATTGTGGGTGGCCCACGGTAGTTGCCTCCGATAAATGGCGGAAGCGTTGGGTGGTTTGTCGTTGCAGTTTAGTACCGCATCCCTGCCGCCAAGGGTGCAGCCTTGGGCCCTTAGGTGGGTCTCTGGATCCAGCTGGGTGTTTGTGAACCGGGCTTCGTTGTCTGGTCCAAGGTTGGGGTGCCGCCTTATTCAGGCTTGTTTTATCCCTCTGATATGCTGGGACTCGTTTTGTCATAGGTCGCTTGTTTCTTCGTCGTGAGTTGGGCAGGCACTCATGTGGGAAGCTGGCTTTTACGTGGGTTTGGGCCGGACGGTTCATCAGTACCTCCAGGTTGCGCCATAGTTCGTGAAAGAGTCTCTCCAGCCTGGCCTCGTATCCCAGTTCATCCGCTGTTTCGCCGAGTGTCAACGTGGCTTGCACTGCCCCCTTAGTCATTCGGTTCTGGTAATTGCCTGTGTGTGGATCGTGACCAGCCTCATGTTGTGTGTGATGGACCGGGATAGCCCCCCCGGTCCGGTGGGGGGGGTGCGGGGCCTCGAGTGGTCCTGTCAGCAGGGGAGACAAGGGACGGAAGGTCGGCCGCCTCCTCCGCCGGTCCACGTTGGAACACTCCAGCCGTCATCTAAGGTCGGTAAGCCCATAGTTGGGTCAGTTTGTGTGCGGCAGGAGTCCCAGTGAGTCGCTTGAGAGAGTAGGTAAGTAGGGAGCTCCTGCAGAGTGCGAACGTCCGCCATGCCAGTCAGGCCCCGTCCCCCTAATCAGATTTATTTCAAATACTCAATCTCCATTTAAACACACTCTTGCATTCACCATTCACGGATTATAGCTCCAAGCCTAAAGAATTTCTACCTGATAAAAAAAAATATACCTGACGTGATAAACATGCTGGTTTAATTTAATCTAATTTACATTAATACATTTTTATAAAAGAAGAAATATACCTGGATAAAGCGGATCGGATTTCAAACCTTTGAAATCATATTTAGCTGAGGAAATATACAGTTCCACATCCCATACATGCAGGTGGAATAAATGAAAAGTATGTTTACTGGTAATTTGCCAAATTTAGCATTTAGAAAGGATCTATACTTTTAAGCTGGCACTTCGGATGCAGCCGAAGTACCGAAGTAGTCGAAGTGGGCGCCATTCGACAAACGAAAACATGTCAGCAGCCATTTTAATCCAGCCGAACGCGGTCAGCTGTGTTTTGCCGTTGAGTTCATAGAACTAAAATCGGATACTGGACGACACGAACACCGCTGAAGATTTACCTTCTTTGGAACTTTCCCATTCGAATGGAGTCAAACAGCGTTCAACAATTCTAACGCCGCATTAACAGTGGTATTTGCACAAATGGCACCTGTTCATGCATTCAAATGACATTTGCATTGGGATGAATAGACCGGCTGCACAGTCCAAATCTATGGAACTGTTTTGGGCATGAAAATGTGCGTGCGGTTGGTCAAAATAGGACTTCCAGCTAACTCCCGAATTGCTGAAGGGATTTCAATGATTTTTGGTTGTTTCTTCCCTATGAATGCTGATTCAGAAAATTTAGGTTGTATGCAAATGTGATGTATAGTTTTAAAGTTAGAGAAATTGGGTAAAAATGTGTGTTTAAACTGTACGGCTAATTATGTTATCTCTCAGGCTAAGGGGAGAGGATGTGTGGGTTGTAACCAGTTGGTGATTGGATAATTCCTAATTGTCTGTGGGTGTCTCCCTTGCATGGGAGAATTGCATAAAAGCAGAGTATGTGTCATTAAACCTCAGTTCTACTTCACCCTCAATTTAGAGTCCAGTCTCTTATTGGGGGAATCTGCTACAAGGGATTGCTATGCTCTGCATATTCACTTGCATAATCACGCAGCTTGTGTAGGAGCTTGTTCCTTCACTCTCTGGGGAAAGAGAGGTTCACCCACTGGAACCTGGAGCCTTGTCGTGGGTCCAGGGTGAATAGGAGATGGCGAGACCCCAACCAAGCTACGGCGGTTTGTGGGGTCTGCAGTACTTACGGGGTCAAGTGGAGTGCTTGGCGCCCTCGAGCAGCACTAGAAGCATCCTTCAACGGAGGTACCCAGTCAGGGTGCCAGGTGATCTGTTATAGCTTGTATAGCATGTATAGCTTGGAGGAAAGATGAGACAGGGGGGATATGATAGAAACATTTAAATACATAAAGGGAATCAACACAGTAAAGGAGACTATATTTAAAAGAAGAAGAACTGCCACAACAAGCAGACATAGTCTTAAATTAGAGGACCAAAGGTTTAAAAATAATTTCAGGAAGTATTACTTTACTGAGAGGGTAGTGGATGCATGGAATAGCCTTCCAGCTGAAGTGGTAGAGGTTAACACAGTGAGGGAGTTTAAAGGACCACTATAGTGCCAGGAAAACATACTAGTTTTCCTGGCACTATAGTGCCCTGAGGGTGTGTGTCGAGATCAGTCTCGTCACTGTGCATTGAAGGAGCCTGGTTGCCTACCTGCTGCCTTTTGATTATGGACCGGCATTTAAATACTTTATTTTCCTATGCAGAAAGGTCTATTCGTGTATTTCTGCCGGGCGTTCGGTAGATTCTATCTACCGAACAAACAGCCATCTAGTGGCCTCCCTAGAGCGCGGTTAGCTGGCAGGCCCAATTAATTGGCCGCACAGAAGCCGTCGAGCGTCGCCAACTGACCGCCCAGAAGCCGCGGCTTAACAAGCGTGTGCCGTCAACGGACCACCCAGTAGCTGCGGTAAACCATAGCTTAATTGACTATACTGGGTGGTCGCGGCTACGCATACTGAACACTGGATGGCAGCAGTCTGGAGTTCACATGCTGCCAGTTCATTCACGGATTTACTGAATGAACTCATTTAACCCAGATAGCTATGCCATGGAGCCTATTCGTGTAATAAAAGCCTTTGGCTCCATGGCAATTGAACTGTATGTGTGTGGTCTGAGCGCCATTCAGTAATAATGTGCTCTCAGAACTAAGCTATCTGGAGATATGTTGCATGTCTATATTTTATGTAATAAATGTAACCTTGTGTATTTTATTGTATTTTACTGTCTTTTTTACTGCCATGTGCTTAATGGAGTTTTGCCTCTGTCCTTGGAGAGAGCCTTGTCTCGTTCTTGGGTGGAAGGGGGGGTATTATTGTATGCTGTTCCAGTTCGACTGCTAGGAGTGTAAACCTTTTATATGGTTTTTCCTATTCGGCTGTTTACAGCATTTGTATTTTGAGAGCAACCATATGCTTCTCTGGTTCGGTGGATTGGTGTCAACAGTAGCTGCCTGTATATCTGGAAGGGAATATCTCCTAAACGGCTGTTAACCCCTTTTATGCCTGGGGTTGCCGTTACAGTGAGTATGTATGTGTGTCTGACAGACACACACACACACACTCACTGACAGACACACACATACTGACACACACATACTCACAGACACACTGACAGACACACACACACACTCACTGACAGTGTGTCTGTGAGTATGTGTGTGTGTCAGCGGGAGGATCAGATTTGGCACAGGGTGGTAAAGGAGGGTGCTGTGGTTTATTAGAGGAGGGGCTGGGATTTTGTAAAGGAGGGTGCTGTGGTTTAGTAGAGGGGGGTGCTGGGGGTTTATACTGTACTTTTTTTTTTTAAATAAACCTATGTTTAATGAAAATATACGTTTTGGGGTTTTTTTTGCAGCCCACATTAACTTAAACCTTGTTTATGTGGCCCGATCCAGACTGAGTTTGACATGCTTGGTCTAGATGAATATTCTTGTTCTTAGGTAGAACATTGGTTTAAGGATAGAGTACAACGAGTTGTCCGTAATCGTAAATTTTCAGGCTGGACAAAAGTGATAAGTGGTGTCCCCTCAGGGTTCTTTTTTGGGACCGCTTATATTTAACATATTTATAAATGATCTTGCAATAGGCATTGCAAGCCATGTTTCAGTGTTTGCAGATGACACAAAACTTTGTACAGTAATAAAATGTGAGCTTTGCTGCAGAGGGATTTAGATAGATTGGGGGACTGGGCACTAAAATGGCAAATTAAATTTAATGTAGAGAAATGCAAAGTTATGCACTTTGGGGTCAAGAATACACAAGCAACTTATACACTCAATGGTAGTGAATTAGGGATAACCTCATGTAGCGGAGCGGCAATATTAAATTCCACGATCTCCGCTGGTATAGAAGGTAATCCACAGTCAAGCGCTGAAAAGTGAGGCAATATCCCAAATCCCACCAGTAACCGGACGAAACACAGTTCTGGGAGTCAACTGAGGTTTTTATTCACAGCTCCAGTAATTATGCAAGTCCACATGCAAGGGGCTTCCCTACTGACATAGCAGGGGTAATACAGTAGGGGACTTAACATTCTGAGCATTTCTCCCATCAGGCACTGCTGGACGTGAGGGATACTGCCTGGAATATACCGTTAAGAGGATTATCCCTCCGTCCAGCAGGTCCGGCATTTTACATTTAAATCCATAACTTTCATAATAGTCGAGTTATTTAAACGAATGGATGTTCGGTAGATAGCTGGGGTCTGAGCGCACATTTCATGAGAATACCACTCAGATCCCAGCTAAAACAACCAAACGGCGCACGAAATACAATTTGCCATTGAGTTCGCCTAAAAGTACCGAACACCGATGGAGAACCGCAATAGTGAAAGACCGGAGCTCCCGAACGGCCTGGAAGTCCAGCGGTGTTCATGCCGTTGAGTAGCCGATTTCGTCTCCACGCGCTCGATGACCAAACACCGCAGGTGAGACAAAGGATCCAAGATGGTCGACTGCCGCGTGGTCGGTAGCCGAACGACGGCCACCTAGGAAAGTCTTTAATTACCGATTGCAACAATGTTGCAATCGGTTAATGGGTGCCACACGTCCCTCTATGTGTGG